GGAAAGTGATTGCTCTTTTTTCTAGTTTGTAGTAGAGGAGGAAAGGAAAGCCAAGAACGATCTAACATATACAGTAGAGTTTCAGAGAGTAGATTTCAAAGGTTTCAGTGGAAGGTTAGTTTGTATCTTGTGGACCACATTTTTTGAAGGAATTGTATGTGTACAAATTGCCACTCTGGAGAAAATGGATGCACTTGAGAACAGGTATTGTTCCCTTCTTGTTTTTGCATCCTTACCACCTAGAATAGTGTTTATTGATTGATTGTTGTTAGCCAAGGAAGGATGAAAAACTATTGATAATGAAATTTTGAACATATGGAAAGAAACAATTTTGACAAGGAGGAAAAATGGGAGGTATCTGAGACTGATACTCATGCACAGTGAAGTCATTATCCAACTTAAAATTTTTTTAAAAGACTGGAAGGTCCAATTGATAAATGGTCAAAGGATATGAATAGGCAGTTTTCAGATGAAGAAATTAAAGCTATCTATAGTCATATGAAACTGCTCTAAATCACTATTGATTAGAGAAATACAAATTAAAACAACTCTGAGGTACCACATCACATCTATCAGATTGGCGAACATAACAAAACAGGAAAATGATAAATATTGGAGAGGATGTGGGAAAATTGGAACACCAATGCATTGTTAGTGGAATTGTGAACTGATCCAACCATTCTGGAGAGCAATTTGGAACTGCGCCCAAAGGGCTATAAAACTGTGCATACCCTTTGACCCTGCAATACCACTTCTAGGCCTGTATCCCAAAGAGATCATAAAAATGGAAAAAGGACCCACATGTACAAAAATATTTATAGCAGCTTTTTTTTGTGGTGGCAAAGAATTGGAAATTGAGGGGAGGCCCATCAATTGGGGAATGGCTGAACAAACTGTGGTATATGAATGTAATGGAATACTATTGTGCTATAAGAAATGATGAACAGGCTAACTTCAGAAAAACCTGGAAAGACTTGAATGAACTGATGCTGAGTGAAGTGAGCAGAACCAGGAGAACATTGTATACAATAACAGTCATACTGTGCGATGACTAACTTTGATAGACTTACCTCGTTTTAGCAATGCAAGGGATCTAAGATATCTCCAAAGGACTCATAATGGAAAATGCTGTCCACATCCTGAAAAAGAACTATGAAGTCTGAATGCAGATTGAAGCATATTATTTGCTCTCTCTCTCTTTTTCTCCTTTTTTTATTTGTTTCTTCTTTCTTGTGGTTTCACCCATTGGTTCTAATTCTTTACAACATGATTAACATGAATATAGGTTCAATATTTATGTGTATGTAGAGCCTATATCAAATTGCATGCCGTTTTGGGGTGGGGGAAGGGGAGAGATGGGGAGAAAATCTGGAACTTAAAATCTTATGGAAGTGAATGCTGAAAACTAAAAATAAATAAATTAATTTAAAACTTTTTTAAATTAAAAAAGATAAAAGACTGGAAGCAAGGGAAGGTAAGAGAGGATAAATACAAAACTGTGGCTTGATTCTGTTTGCATAGCGTCAGGAGTGCTATAAAGCTAAGAATGAGCTGAAGCTAGAAAGAAAAGAGGGAACATCAAAGAAGGTATGTACTGATGTTTGGGTGAGTTGTGGAGAGGATAGGATGGTGATAACCAACAGCAGACAGAAGGCAGAATGTCTTCATTGTTATTTGCTTGTTTTCCCTGCAATGAAGAATGACTTTTGAACTGGAAAGAATGCAACCAAAATGGCTAATAGGGACATGAGGTTTAAGATAAATAAAGAGATGGTAAGAGAAGATTGGCTGCTCTTGGTGACCCCCAATCATGTCACCCAGATGAATTATATGTGTAATGGGAGTCTAGCACAGACACAAATCTTTCTCTGATGGCATCTCTCCATATAGGGGAGGCTGGGGAAATGGCATCTGGGACAACTGATATACCATGATCTGTTTATAGCTAAAATAAATTTTAGTGAATTTAATACATATAATGGAATATTACTAAACCATGAGAAGCAATGATTATGAATTATTTAGAGAACTATAAGAAGATTTGTATTAATAGATGCAGAATGAGATAAGCAAAACCAGGAGAGCAATATATACAACTTCAACAACGTAAATGCAAAATAATGAAAATAGCAAAATGAATAACACTGTGTAAGTATATGAACTATGCTTGCCTCCAAAGAAAAATTGAGAAAACCTCTCCTAGGTTGGGTGGCTAGTTGGCGTCATAGTGCATAGAGCACCAGACCTGGAATCAAGAAGACTCACCTTGAGTTCAAATCCGACCTTAGATACTTACAAGTTATGTAACCCTGGGCAAGTCGCTTCCCCCTATTTGCCTTGGTTTCCTCATCTGTAAAATTAGCTGAAGAAGGAAATTTTAAATCTCTGGCAAGGAAATCCCAAATAGGGTCATGAAAAGTCAGACAAAACTGAAACAACTTAACGACAATGAAAGGTGGGCATTGAGATCTCTTCTAATTTTAAAATTCTGTGATGGGTTGGGCAGTTAAGGCTTTCTCTCCTTTGTTGAACTAAGATTTTATCTCATTCACTAATATGAAAGCCCCTTAACACTTGTGCATTTTATTCTCTATCCCAACCTGTATAGATTGGGATAACTCATACAAGTGAATTGTGGAATAATTCTCCCCAGATTCTGTTTCCTCTTCGCTTGGTTAAATGTGTCGGCTTGTTATCTGTGATTGTTTTTTTTTGTTGTTGTTGTTCAATTGTGTCTGACTCTTTGTGACCCCATGGACCATACTCTCCATGAGGTTTTCTTGGCAAAGATATTGGAATGGTTTGCCATTTCCTCTTCAGTGAATTAAGGCAGAGGTTAAGTGACTTTCCCCAGGTCACAAAGCTAGTAAGTGTCTGAGGCCAGGTTTGAACTCAGGTCTTCCTGACTTAGGGCCCAGCACCCTACCTGCCTGTTATGCCACCACACCAGCAATTTGTATTTTGTCTTGTGTCTAATAATGATTTGGTAGGAGGGAATTAAGTTGGCTGAGAATAAGGACTCATTTCATCCCAGCTCCCTCCCTCACTGACCTCCTGCTCCAGAGATCCCTAGGGCAATTTGTGGGGGTCCTTGACTCAGCCAAGGGATGAGCTTTTAAAGGAGATGAGATTGTTAGTCTGACCTCTTCTTTCTACTGGGGGGGGGGGAGTGCTCAGACCTCCTACCACCCCCTGGAACCTTCTCAGTCACCAGTCTTAGGCTCTGTGTTTCTCTGCCACACTCCACACTGAGATGACAACCCTTTTATTTTATTTATTATACAATTTTATTGGCCCCCAATCTAGCCCCTTATCCACTAAACCACAGCTCTCCACCACTTTTCTTTCTTGGGATCATCTCTGTTCATTTTACGGGTAAGAAACTGAGTCTCAGAGGTTAAGTGACTTGGTTAGTGTAGAGAAAGTTGAGTCAGGATTTAAACTCAGATGTTTTCAATTCAAATTCACTGCACTTCCTAGGACTTCACTCTTGCCTGTTTCTAGGTGTCCCATCCCTCCCCCCAAATCTTTGGCCTCTCTCTCCAGCACCTTTTCCTTTTCAGGATCCGTGCAAGGGCAGTCTCCAGGAGGTTGGATATCAGCCAATTTGTGCTTAAAAGGCTGAGTTCCAGGACACCCTATTCTATTCACCCATCAAGCTCTAAGGATCTAGGCTGACTGGAAAGAATACTGGGTGTGGGGTTTGAAGACCTGGGTTCGACTCCTGGTTTTGTGGCTTACTAGGGGTGTGACCTTGGACAAGCTTCTAAATGGTTTGCGCGCCTGAGTTCTCTTCTCTATGATAATCTCCTAAATCTCCTCTAGCTCTCAATTAATTATTTTAGTGATTTCTGACACTCCCAGTGTTTCTACTGCGTGTCATCTCTCCTTTCTGCCTTTCTCCTGGCTTCTTTTTGGTCTCTCAGTATCTTCCAAACTCCTTAGGCACTGACCTAGGGCACTTCCCTCCGACAGATCAGAGGTAAATTCACAGGGTCTTAGGATTTACAGCTAGAAGAGCCTTTGGGGATCATTTAGCTCAGGCCCTTCATTTTACAGATGGGGAAAGTGAGGCCCAGAGAATTTTTGTTTTTAAGAGACTCGCTTGTGGTCTTTAACCTCACTGTTTTCAGCGCAAGGGAGTGATGGGGATTCCAGTTAAGAGAAGCGTTATAGCTTACTCCGTGTCACCCAGCCCCTTGGTCCCTGGTGCCTGGGAGGCAGCTGCAAGGGACACCTGCCCAGAGGTCTTTCTTTGGAACACACAGGCTGGGATGGAGCTTGCTGGGGAGCTGGAATAGGAAGCCTATTTAGGCAGCTGGAGGCACAGATACATGATGCCTTCTCATTTCTAAGGGAGTGGAACCTGGACCCACCGCTCCTTCCCCCTGGTAACCAGAATGAACAGCAACATCCCAGCAGGGGAGGACAGAGAGGGAGGAGCCAGAGGAGGAGGGTGCAGCAGCGACCAGGGTCACTACTGCCAGGCTGCCAGGGCTGCTGCTCTCCAGGACAAGACACCAGAGCACACTCTTCTTTTCTCTTCTCTTATCTCTTCTTCCCCACTCTCTCTTATTTCCCCTTTTTCCTCACTCATTATCCCTTTCCCTACTCTCTCCTCCCCTCACCTCTCAACACTCTCTTCTCTTGCCCTTTCCTCTCCACTTCTCTCTCTCTCTCTCTCTCTCTCTGTCTTACACACACACACACACACACACACACACACACACACACGCACGCACACACACTTTCCTCCTATTCTCCTTTCCCACCTCTGCCCCACCGCCGCTTCCTCACAGCCTCTCAGCTGCCTTTTGAAGGCAACCCCGCTGCAGCCGCGCTGTGATTCCCTCCCAGCCCCAGTGGGGCGGCTTGAAGGACCAGGGGCACCCGACGGCCGGAAGGACGCCCAGCAGCAGCAGCAGCATCTCACCTAGCGCAGAGCATCTTCGGCCCAGCCCCGTCGGTATCTCTAGGCAGACTCTCCAACAGGCAGCAGGATGTGGAACGAGACACTGAGCCTGGAAAGCGAGTCCAACCTCAGCCTGGACTACACGGATGAACCTTTCAACAGCTCCTGGGTGGACCAGCTGCCCCCCTTCCCCGGAGCCCTGCTCACCGGGGTTACAGTCACCTGCATCGCTCTCTTTTTCATCGGCATCTCGGGCAACCTCATGACCATGCTGGTGGTGTCTCGATTCCGGGACATGCGGACCACCACCAACCTCTACCTGTCTAGCATGGCGCTGTCCGACCTGCTGATCTTCCTCTGCATGCCCCTGGACCTCTTTCGCCTCTGGCAGTACCGGCCCTGGAACTTCGGGGACTTTCTCTGCAAACTCTTCCAGTTCATCAGTGAGAGCTGCACCTATTCCACCATCCTCAACATCACTGCGCTCAGCATCGAGAGGTACTTTGCCATATGCTTCCCCCTCAGGGCCAAGGTGGTGATCACGAAGGGCAAGGTGAAGCTCATCATATTGGTCATCTGGGCTGTGTCCTTCTTCAGCGCTGGCCCCATCTTTGTCCTGGTAGGAGTGGAGCACGAAAATGGAACCAACCCTATGGACACCAACGAATGCAGACCCACTGAGTTTGCCATCCAATCGGGACTGCTCACCATCATGGTCTGGATCTCCAGCATCTTCTTCTTTCTGCCGGTGTTTTGCCTGACTGTGCTTTACAGCCTCATTGGGAGAAAACTGTGGAGAAGGAAGAGGGAGGACATGGGACTGAGTGCTTCTATCCGTGATAACAACCACAAACAAACTGTAAAAATGTTAGGTATGGGATTTTTACTTCTCTCCTTCCCCATCTTTCCCTCCTTCCCTCTCTCTCTCTCTCTCTCTCTCTCTCTCTCTCTCTCTCTCTCTCTCTCTC